TTGCCAGGAGCAAATGTGTGAATTGAAACTGGCTTAAGCTCATCACTCACTTTGAAATTCTGTCAGTTGATTATGTTTTTATAGTTTTTATTTTGGGCTGAGCCATGTATAACACCCCACACTGGCCTGGTGACACACTCTTACACATTCACACTCTAATGAGCTTAGGGAGAAATACACACCAGCTGATTTTTTCAGCTGTTGATAGTTGTTTATCAAAATCAAAACCGACCCTCAGGTCCTCTTGATGTTGAGATCCAGTCAGCTTTTTTTGCAACAGATGTGCTCAGTCCCACCCAGCCACATTCTTCCTGAGCTTCATGGACACATACCCTGGCCCATCTCTGGTCCTTCTCCCATGGCAGGGTTTACTGATCAGCCACAGAGGACACACAGAGAATGAATAAACTGGGCTTTTGGTGTTTAGTTGCATTGTATTGGTATATAGTTTGGTATGATTTTATGGTTCCCTGGTTATGTCCAAGATTACCTTTCTGAGCATCAGTTCACAAAATGGTGTGCAGCAGTACTGTAGCTAAGGAATACAGGAAGCAAGAGGAAAAAGATAAGATTAATACTTCAGTTTCACAGAGAATTACGTGCATAGGTCCTTTTTGTAATTTCTCTGTTGAAAATAGCAAACATGTGCAGTCAGTACAACTGGTTTTAGCAATATGGTTTAATTAGTCTGGTTCCAGGCTGAGAGAATGAAAAATGTGGATCAGATTTAGTGGTGAGGATCATGTTTCACAGCGGCTTGGAAAAATGCTGAGTATAATAGTAATTTTAGTGCTTTTCAGGGCTTTAACCTTACCATTTTTCAGCACCCTCATTCATTGCCCTTTGTGATTTTCTCTTGGTTTTTTCTTGGCGTCAGAACACTTCTAGCAGTGTGTACAACAGTGCAGTAGTCACCTGCTTCCTTGGCATTCAGTTCATCTTATTATCCTATCTACTTCTGTATTTGTTTCCCATAAAATTCTTCAGAAATCTGACTGCCGACAAATATTGTTCCGAATTCCTACATAAAATATTTCACAGCACCAAAACCGGTCTTCAAACCACACTGCAAAATAGGCATCACATATCATGTCTGCAGTATTATATGAAATGCTTGTAGAAGCAGGTGGATAGTGTAGAAGAAACTGCATTCATAGAGGCGGCTTGATGAGAGGTTAGGAAGTTGCTTTTCCTAAACTTGTTCTTACGGTTTTATAATTACAATACCTTTCAAAACTGAGCTGTACATTGGTTTGCATTTTAACAAAAGCATATTATGCAGTTTGTTACTTTATATTAGTAATATCTTAATAATAAATAACTGTTACTGTATATTTAATATATTAAAACCTGACAGGTTATATTGGGTGTAGTGTGTGGTGTGTATGTTGCCATAAGCAGCCCACTGTTGTTACTGCAGTAAAAGCTCAAAGAAATTGTAGCTTCTAAGCTAAGATAGGTAATGAATTTTTTATTTATCCTGTGCATCTAATGTATTTTCTTACTTTCTTGGATGATGGTAGAGAAGCAAATTGGTTGGCTAGTCTGACCTTCTTGTCTTTGTTGTCACATGTTGACCCAGCATGTCCTGTTGGACAGTTTGGGTGCCTCAGCATCACAACCATGGTTTTTTTCTTGATGGAATTTAAGAAGATCAATATATATTGGATCAATATAAAGTTTTTGAACAGCACAGGCTTTGTCAGTTGACTGTTTTCTCTGTATGAAGTAGGTCTCTGTGCAGTCTGTTGCTTAAAGGTTCAGACCAATGTCTTGTACAGGCAGAAATCTTTGTGGTGTCTGTATTAATTTTGTACACTGTTGAGTTCTTGATCTGTTTCATAATCTTGTGTCATTAAGAGGCAGCCCACCTTGAACTATAAATGTATGGTGTGAGCATTACTGGTAGTGACTCTGCCTTATCAGTCATTGTTTGCTGAGGAGAGGAAAAAAAAACAGTATGCCATATGGCTACCCCAGTTCTCTCTTTCTCATTTATCACAATCCTGTAGCAGTTCAGTGCTGCAAAGTTACAGTTGTGGTTGACTTACTGGTAGAGTTTTTTTAATTGAGTCTTTCTCTCTTGAATAGTTTGGATTATTAAACTTGATTTCTAAACATGAACTTTATTTTCCCCCCACCTAAAATACTTCTGCATAGACTGTAGCTCTTTGCTCAGATGTTTCCTTTTCTGAGTTACAGCAACATCCAGAGATCATGTTCCAGTTCCTACCTCCCTTGTGATAAACAAGCACACTGGGAAGCATGGTCTGTGGGAATAGTCACGCCTTAAGAGAAAGTGCAGCAATGGTTCGTTACACCTTTTTAATGAGTTTAATGAATTGGAGAGGAGAGCTTGACTCTGCCATGAATACGCAGTTACACTGTCAGCATCACTTGCACATTAAACGAGTATCACAAGCAGCCCTCCTCTATTATGATAGGTTCTTCTTGCCTAGTCTGCCCTTTCACATGTTGTTCGAGGGGGTTTTGTTTTGGGGTTTGTTTTTTGTTTTGTTTTGGGTTTTTTTTTGTTTTGTTTCAGCTTTTGTGGTTGTTTTGGGCTTTTGTGGATTTTTTTTGTTTGTTTGTTTTTTAAAAAGTTTATTAGCACTTGGAAACCGAAGGAGTTAAATTAATGAAAGGTAATTTTGGATGGTAAAAGATGCAAGAAGCTTTCCTTGTCATTAATAAAGCTATCCTTTAGTTGCTTGGAGAAGAGAGATGCTATACTGAGCACAGAGGTGGATGTAACTCACATATTTGGCAGGGGCTGCTAGGCCAGGCAGCAGGGCTGCTGTAAAACCAGGCACAATTAATGTTTCTTACCCAGCTTGCAGTGTGCTAGGGGACATGAGGAACAGCTGAGCTGACTGCAGAGGGTGAAGAGGACAAGGACACATCCATTGGAAGTCTGCCTCATTAGTTCCACTGTTCAGAGAACAAGTTGCTTTTCATTGAGATTTTCAAATTAATAGTGTCCTTTTATATTACAAAGGCCATGTGTATGGGCATTATTAGTCTTGTATTTAATTAAAACAACAGCTGGTGATCATTTAATTACAGGGTATGAAAGGGAATGATACTTGACTATGTAGCATTGTTTTGTTGAATTTGGAGAATTGTAGCCGTTTTTCATTTACTATTTGAAAGCTGTGGTGAAGGATGTGCATCTTGATGAACAGACTTGTGAGCTTCATTGCAACAATTCCACTCTGTTATAGGAATAAGGTAAACAGCAGCTTAAAAATTCACCAGATTTCCTGAAAATCTGAAGCAAGTTATGAACAGATTGGTACAATTGGTCTGGTTATTTTTTCTCTGCACTGTAAAATCAGTGCATAGTTTCCTTCTGCTGAAGGCCAAAAATACTTTAAGGTATTCAGGATGTTTCTGGGTTTATTATGAGTTTTCAGTGTACATACTTCATAGAAGCTGTGTAGGATATGTCCAAAGCAAGCCTGAACTACTGAATTTTAACATGAAAAATGAGGCTGCCTTGAGAATCTTAAATGTTCTGCAACATATAATTGTGTATGTGTATAGTTGTACTGAAACAAATAACTGCATGTATGTAAGGTATTTTTGTAGCTGATGTAGTAAAAGTCCTGTCAACTGAATGGACAAGTGAGGATACCCAGGGAATAACTAGTTACACAGCATTTAAAAAGGCAGAATTCATATCCAAATACCTTTTTAAAATTATCTTTCTTGTCTTGAAGGCAGAGTTTTTTTCATTAACAATGGGAATACTGTATGTGAAGAACCAATTGCCCAATGTTCTGGTCTCTCTGTTGTCAGGCAGCTGCTTTTACACATCAGTATAGGAAAACAGCTATGGTTTTGCTGGCTTCCAGTATTATAAAGGTAGAATTTATATCAAAATAGGACTCACTAATTGATTCATTGTAAATGAAACAAGAAAAATTACTTTTAGGTGACCCACCCAATAGAATATCAGATTGAGGGACTGAAAGTGGATGAGGATTAGAAGCAGAGTTTGTATTTCAGCCTGAATCTTGGCAGCAGAGCAGTGTTTGCTGTGTTGCTTAGTCTGGTGTGAAAGGTCACTTCTGTTTTCATACCCAGTATAACTTGAAGCGGTTTCTTTACAACTGCAAAGAAAGACTTCAGGGCCAGTGGCTAGTTCTCCTCCTGGACTTTCCAGTTGTAGTTGTCAATACTTAGTGTTGAATTCTGGCTGATGAGTTTGGTGAAATAATGAATGGGGTATTTAAGGACGAGAAAAGAGTGGGAACAATTAAAATTATTTTAAGAACTGTTCTTGATTTTTAAGTTGTGTAGCTAACCTAATTTCAATGTTGTGAGTTATCGTAGCCTGATATATATTACTGCATGCTATCAGCTAAGTGTAGAAAGTATCTTTCATCAAAAGGATCTGCTGCAGAAAGAAAAATAATTCGGGTTCTTCATATGTGGGTTAGTAGATAAGAATCACTGAAACTCGCTGGCGTGGGACTGAGGAGAGCAACAACTGCAGAAGAGTAGCTCACAGTGGAGTAGGTGTTAGTTGCAAAATAAAAGCTAATCCTTTGCATGGAGCTATCCACTTTCACCAAACTGATAACCTCTATGTGTCTAAAGGCATCCAAACATAGTACACCTCATTCTATAATGCAAATCTTAGTCAACATTTTATGTAAGGTTTTATAACACAAGACTCAAGCTATGTCTTAATGAAGTAGTGTTAAAGCTAATCTACACATTCCTAGCTGAATTATTCCTCACTGTATTTACCCTTATAAAGGATATGGTAAAGGAATGTGTGTTCTGCCTAGAAAGAAAAATTCCATGTTAAAAAAACTATTAGTTAAATTGTTAGTTGTATGTGGATTTCTTTTAGACTTTGTTCTATGGAAGTTCCTATTAACTACTACAGAAATCCAGCATTACTATACCTGCCATATAATACTATCTCTTCTCTAGTGCTAAGTAGCTTGTGAATTGATTATTTTGTTTCTTTCCTTTCTGTCTTCCAGCTTCATTTAGCAGCCCTGGCTTCATTAAAGGGAGACATTGTGGAGCTTAATAAACGTCTACAACAAACAGAAAAGGAGCGTGACCTATTGGAAAAGAAATTGGCAAAAGCACAGGTGAGCAATAGTAGTTCAAGATTCTGAAGATGATCCTTGGTTTTGTGCAGTCCTTGTTCCTCAGAGAGAGGATAAAATACTGAACAATGTCACAAGTCAAAAGAATTTTAAGACTGCAAGACATAGTTGCCATGGGTTATACCTTTTACGTGTTGAAGACATTCTTCTAAAAAAAACCCTTAAAAATTAATTAGATAAATTTTTATTAGAAATCAATATAAGCAACAAGTGCTTTGAATTATTGTAGAATATCAGAATTACAGGTTGCTCTCAGTGGGTTAGGTAACTGCAGAGCCTTGCACTCCTGGGTCACATTTAAACACAGCACAAATTAACACTGATCAAAGTTATTGCCAATTTTCAGTGCTTTGATGTTATGTGAGAAGTTACTTGCGACCTCAGTCCAGCTTCCAGTATGCCCGTTGGAATTGTGGAATTGTGGAAAACACAGCCAGTGGAAAGCCAAGGGGTTAAATAAGAATAATGTTGGAACTCTGATGCTTTCATAGCACTTACATAGAGGCAGATGCTAGCAAGGAAAATTGAACTATTGTTTTTAATATTTCTCTCTTCTGTAAAAAAAATCTTCGTTTTCAGATACTGCCATTGTACCAAATACCTTTTATAAATAGTTAACATTTCAAAATGAATTCAAAATGCTTGGATAGAGGTAAAAAAAGCATTTTGTCCTGTGAAGAATGGCACCTTATTTGTTGTTCAGAGATGTTCTGGAATCTCCAGCCTTGGAAGTACTCAAGGCACCTGGACCTGGTCTTGGGTTGGGTAATGGACTGAATGAGTAAGTACCAGGGGTCCCTGTAATCCTTAGCCTTTCTGTGACTTTGCAGATTTAAAGTTTTCAGTATGTATTTCATTTTGATGAGACCTTTCATCTGTGTTACTTAAATTTAAGCTAAATATAGAAGTGTTTAAGCAGTCTTGATTTTCAGGCTCTTTCTTCAGTCCTCCCTTACTTTGGCCTTTGCCTGCATTCCCTAATGTTTTTTTCAGCTGCTTTAAGATTTATGGACTTGTAAGTGATACTGTTATTGCAGACCATAAATGTAACATCCAGAAATAAAATCACTTTCATGTTTTTATTCCCCTCAGTATGTGATCCAGAGCCACGCTGAGAGTCAACATGGTTTATCAGTTATAATCCTGAGAGCCTTTTCTAATTTCTGTGGCATTCTTGGGATAGAGTCCTCTTTCTGGCTTACAGTTTGATATGAGGCTGCATTTGACAATCATTAAACTCTCAGATGGATTCACTGTATCCAAATGATCCACATTATTCTGCATGATTGCACTGACTTTATTGTTGTTATTTATAACTCCGGAGGGTTTGGTGCTAACCACAGGTTTTTGTTAGTGTTTTATTTTTATTTCTGGGTATTTATTTAAAAATGGAGATATTATCTCTCAGCCAGTGAAGAGTGCCTTGTAGGTGCTCCCATACAGTACCAAATACACACTGATGGCAACTGGGATTAAGGATCAGTTCTTAATACCAATTAACATGTGCTCTGTTAGCTCAAGATTGTTTGTTGTTTTCTTTGATGGGGTACCAGTTATGCATGCGTACATAGTGCTTGGTTTGTATTGCTGGGGGTTTTACTCAATGTAGAGCAGTGCAAACATAAACATAATGATCAGTGCCTCCTGACCTGTGAAGAGCACACAACTGGAATATCTGAAAGGCAGGCTGATTGCTGGATTTCAGATTAAAAAAATAAGTATTTTTAATGAACAGTTTTATATAAAGGTTTAATGATTTATCTCTTTGCAGTTCATTTTTTTCTAAAGCCCTCAAGTGGATAGAATTTAGTATGTGTTGAATAAAATACAAATCTTTCCTAAGGAATTCAAATCATTAAACAAACACAACTCATATATTGAATATGTTGGCAGTGCTTAAGTACTGAGACATACACTGGTGAAGCCACTGCACCTTGCCTTCTTTTTCTAAGTGCATACCAAGTACTTGTGCCACTTAACATATTTTTTTTTAACTTTTCTTCCCACTCCACAGAGATTTGTTCATTAGTCTTTCCTCTACAGCCTCTGTCTAATGTGAATCAGAGGTTCAGAAGGCATAAATTAAATAGGATGTGTTTGAGGTTCTGCGTAACCATACTCAGATGCTAGTGGGTCAGTATTAAATCTCTGTTCTGCATCTGGACTGTACTTATCAAGGCAGCATGTTTCATTTTAGCTGGCATGGTAAATGCTCTCTGAAACAAATAGCTCTTAAAACATATTTTTGGTAATACCTTCCCTGTCATTTCATGAGGCATGTGAGGCATTTGGAAGAAAGGATTAGTGATTTGCAGAGTGGAGGTGATTTGGGGAACCACAACTCAAGCAATAGATGACAAATGGTGATGAAAGCTAGTTGGACAGCATGGGCTTAAGATTTTGTGAAGTGATGTAATTGATTAGTGGTTGTTGTAGCATACTCCCTTCCAAATCTGCAACCTATGGAGACCAGATATAGCATTTCTCTACATGCTTCTATTATTTCAGTAACATAGCAGATCTCTGTCTCTGTGTTTTTATCAGTGTACAAGTCAGCAGTAAAGTGATCTCTTGAATGAAATTTGCTATGAAACGCTGGTCAGCCACAACTAACGTCTTCCAAAAATCTTTCTGTGATTGTGAGAAATGTGCTTTCTACTGGCTGTATGTGGCACAGTGTCCTGCTTTGACAGTGATAAACAGTGGAAGTCTGAAGGGAGAGCATAAGAAATGCACACAGAGAATTTTTCCCTTTCATATCCCCCACCTTTCTGTCAACATCTGTGGGCAGGAGGCCACATCACATTTTATAGTCCTCTATAGTCCTATCCTCCATGGATTTATATAATCTTCTTTCTAATCTATCTATATTCTTGGCAATATCCTGTGACATTGAGTTCTGCAGTTCTGTGATTGAGCAGGGGATTTAATAACATGCTGAATGTTTCAGCAAGTACAACAAGAATAGATAATTCACTTACTATATTTTTCTTATAATTTCATCTCCTTTCATAAGGTTGTCCTGTTCTCTCATTCTTTGTGCTTAGTCATTGTTATTTTGGATTTTTATAACATCTCTAGACAAAGAATGTGCTGTATTGTTCGGATCCTGTGTCACAGCAGTAAGTCTCATTATGCAGTAATAGTTTTTTGCCATCCTCTTGATTCTTCAGAATATAGAGAGGAACAGCAGAATTTCAGTGTAAGAATAAAACCAACACTCTGTAGACATAAGAACAGAAACAACATTCTCTGTAGACATGTAAGAACATGTGAACTTCACAGGAAGATTTCAGTTTCTCATTTAATAGAGAAACTTGAAATAGGAATGCATGGTGTTCAAATGAACATTGAAATTACTTGTTTTGTTGTGTGATGTCCTTATCTGACATGGATTAATTCTGTGTGCTTGTATTCATTTTCCACATTAAGTGTACACAGAACATACCACAGAACAATTAATTCTGACCAAGCATACTTTTCTGATTGAGGATTTAGTGCTATAGACTTGTTTTTATACTTAAATTTAGATTAATGGATTGCTACTTTTAAATCTGCCACTCGTCTCAAAACACTGTATTAGTTGAGCAAAGATTTTTAGCTTCTGTAATCCTGTTAGACAGGTTTGTCAGTGGCTTGTTCAGGTGATGACTTGTGTTCTTGGTGAACAACACCACAGCCAGTGTTTGTCTCTGCAGGGCCCGGGGCACTGGGGCATCTCTTAATGAGCCCTGCTGCTAGTAGTTTGTTTGGTTGTTTCTGGGGTTTTTTTTGAGCTCTCTTGGAACACTGCAAATTTAATATAAACATTAACAGCATTTAACACATTGCTAGTGTTTCTTCACTAAGAATTCTTGTACATTAATAGGAAATAAAATTACTTGTTCAGACAATAAGCTTGAATTAAAATGTTGTCTCTTGTCATCCGTCTCCCTCATACGCTTCTTGCTGTTGTTTCCCAGCATCAAGAGATCAGACAATGGTGCTTCTAACCATTGTTAATTTTTATTGTAAATTAAATAACCTTTTTAATCTGTACCAAATAACAACCAAAAGTTCTCAACTTATATTGAGAACTGTGCTGGAAACTTCTCTCCTGACTCCAACAATTAATTGCTCATCTTTTGCAGCCTCTCAGTGGGTTATCCCTGTGTTTGCTTTCTCAGAGAATTAGACCTCTTAAGGGTTTTGAGACTGGAGCTCTTAAGTATGAGCCTGGAAGAAAGATGAGAAAAAGGGTATAAGGTATTTATTGTTTCTCATTAAGGGTATAGGTATTTATATTTACCTTGTATTGTGTGACTGACGTGCAAATAAATTTTAAGAGCTGAATGTGTATGCCTTGGAAAGAATCTGGTGGCAGATTGCTGTTTTGAGACTCAAAGCATAAAGAAACTAAGGAGGGTGGTCAACAGCCACAATACCCCAGAGAAAAACTTTAGCAGTGGGTAGAAAAACATGCATTTGTTTCTTTTCCTTTTTAAGTTTTCAGATGACTATTCCATAATAAAGAGAAATTCTGAATAGCCAGAAGAATTTTCCGCTGGTGCATTTTGGGATTCATACTGAACCATGTTTCCATTGCTTGGATGCTTTTGCCATTTTTTCTTGACGGCTGACCAGAACTTAGGAGATGAATTTCTGTTCCCTGCCTCGAAGACAGACCAGTCCTTAACATCATGGCCTGTCTTTTACAGAGGTTTCCTTTCAGCCTTTTCCAGTTGCTTTTACCTGAGATAATTCAAGAGCTCTTCTAAAAAATCAAATGTGAAGCTATTATTGTATATTGCCAGACTTCTGGTTGTTCACAAAGTGCATCTGTCACCGAATGATGTTATCCTGAAAAATGGTGACTAAGAAATGGCTGGAGAAAACAGAAATCAAGTTGTAATGTGGCTGAGACCCATTAGCAAAAGTCCATATATCTTCAGTCAATATAAACAAATTCTGCTGTTCAGTGCATAGCTTAGAAAAACAAAAATTGTTGTGATTAGGGTTTTATTTATTGTCTGGAAACAATTATTATACACTCTATCTGAAACATCCCTTTGATTTAAAAGCTAAAAAACCCACAAGTGCATATAATAGATTGATCTTGATAATGCTGAGGTAGCATTTGTGGGCATATATGTGTGTCAGAGGAAATTCAGGTTTAGAAAGGCTGAAGAAGCAACTCTTTATTGCCCGTAAATCTGCTTTAAAGCTTTTGTGAAATACTTTCTGTGTGTTATTCCTGCACTTTGAAAGCTGTGGTAGTTCTTCAGAAAGATACAATGTTAAGATGTGAAAATGTGAGAAATAAGCTGCAGAATGATCCTACTGTAAGGAGTCATCATAATGTACATGTACAGCCGTATCAGTTGCCAACATTAAGTTTCATAAGCCAAGTAAACATTATCAGTCTTCTGAAATGCGTTCCTTTTCTCTCCTTTGCAGTGTGATGATACTATCTGTTTTTCTTATTGTAGGTGAAAGTGATTTTTACCACAGCTGAAGGTAGAAACTATTTTGTTGTAGTCTGTGGAGGGATGTGCTACTTTTAAGTGTGCATATTCATGGAAGTTAAAAACTGTGGAATAAATTTCTTTAAAAATAAAAATGTTATTGAAGCTTATTGTAAATTTTAATTTTCAAGCAGTTTTTTTGTGTAGATTATGTTCTCAAGCTGTGAATGTAAGTGGCCAAAAAATATGGGACCAAATTATGAAAATTTTTGCACATGTACTACTTCATTGTTTTTGTAGTCCAAAGGGTTTAGGGAGTTAGCTTGTATAGAGTGTTTACTTGATTTAAAAAAAAAAAAAAAACCTGTTTGATTCAGCAGTTTTGGAGGACCCTCCAGTATTACTATCAATTTTGGCCCTTAGAAATGCTAGGATTTTACATTGCAGCTCTTCAGTTAAGGAGTGTGGGTTTTGTACTGTTAAGTGGCTTGTGACTTTTCTTTTTTTGACAGCATGGTACTCGGCATTGTGTGGTTGCAAGGAGGCTTGACTGAACGGGGTCAGAAGCAAAATGTTAGAAATCAAAGCAAAGCTTCAATCAGCATGCAGTGATGGCTTGTCATTGCAGTGGTTTGTAATGGTGTGTTGTAATTGAAATAGAGCATATGCTGGCCTAAAGAGTAAGCCAGGGAGACTACATTTCAAATGCTGTGGGAAGGAAAAAGGAGGATTTTGTGGTATGTATTAAAAACAAGCAGTCATGTAGCTCTTTAATTGTTCAAATCATGAGCATTTTATTGGAGATTATGAACATATTAAAAATATGCTGTTACCTATAAACATTAATAAAAACAAGTACACTAGAGAACAAGTTATAACCTCAGAAGTGTGATTACTTTGTAATATTGTGGTTTCTGCTGTAGGATTTGTTCTAATTCAGACCACATCAGGGAGATCCTAAGATTCAAAGGTTATATATTTATAGCTATTCTGAGTTGCAAATAGTGGGGTTTTTTCCAAGCAGAAATGGCAACTTCTCTTCAGGAAAAAAACAAGTGAGTACACTGCATAGTCTGTCAGTTCCTCAAATATTGTAACTATCTACCTGCACGTACCTGTCAGTGTTTTGTGTCTGTCCTTTTCTCTTGCTAAGGCACTGTTGGTTTGATGAGTATGAAAACCGTAGTGCAGTGCACTCTTGCCCTGTGCACAATCTCCCTGCAGTTGTCCATAATACCCTTTCTGTTTCCTTGCTTCTGTGCTGCAGTGCGAGCAGTCCCACCTGATGAGAGAGCACGAGGATGTGCAGGAGCGAACAACTCTGCGCTACGAGGAGCGGATCACAGAGCTGCACAGCATCATTGCCGAGCTCAACAAGAAAATTGATCGGCTGCAGGGAGCGACCATAAGGTACTGCAGCTTCCTGGGAATTCTGGGCCAAGGCAAGACTGGTGCAAGACATGGTGTGAGTTATACTCTAATGATGACAACTTTCAGGCTTGTCATGACAGGTACAGAATAGCTGCCCATAATTAAGTTGTGTGTTCTGCAGGGTATCATCCCAAGCACCCAGGAAGTGCTACCTTCTGTCTGGCAAAGCCACACTTTGCAAAACCTGACAAGCACTGCAAAACATGCATCATGACATATAAATATTCTTTTTTGTAATGTGCCAGTGTGCCATATAAGTGATAGCAACAGTGTGTGAAAGAAGGTGAAGGCACCCGACTTGAACCTCTGCTTTGAACTTTATTTTGCAGCCTCTTGTAGATCACCTAAGCAAAACCATTTGTGGGAAAGATACGGTTCAAGTAGATATCAGTAGGTTTTGCCTCTTCTTGTGCTGGCTTTTTTGACAAAACACAGTGGTACAAATCATGTTGTTGCCTGGTTCTGCAGCAGCAAAGCTTGGGGTATTACACGAGGTTGTTACTGTGTTAAAATAAAATTTACATTTGACTACATGGAAACATTTTTCCTCATTTGTTTTACATATCATTTTAATGTAGAAAAGTTGGACTAGAGTGCAGAAGGAGTTTCCTAAAGTTTATCTAGTGAGGATGCAACGATATGCCAGAATCTGTGGATTTTCTAGAGAACATCAAGTTAGATTTGATGCATTTGTGGGTAATGTTGATGTGGTGCTCTGGCTATGTAGCCAATTTTCAGTTTTCCTTTACCTATTAGTTGCACTTTTTTTTTTTTGTAATTGCTTCATTTCTTCATTGTAAATACTTCTGCTAGCACAAGGCAATGTTGTTACAACTACTCACTTAATCTTACATTAAAATATTAGAATGGAAAAAGAAGAATGTTTGGCGTACCATAAATAAGAGGAAATACCATCACATGCGTATTTACCCCACTAAAGCAGTCCTAGAATCACAGGTTCATGTTATTTAAGAACATAAGTACTGTTGCCTATGAGATGATTATAACTAGCAATGGTCATGGTGAGATTTTTCAGATATTTTCTGCTGGCAGTAGTTCTCTGAAAAAAAATCCCAATGAGTCCCTTCTTCATTTATATTTTATTATTCATTTATATTTTTCTTTATGATACTTCTGCAGACAAACTTTCCATTTGTCTTTTGAAAAGACTAGTTGAAAAGCAAAATATGAGAAAGCATGAGAGCTGCACTGATTTTTTTTCTTCTTGAGTGACAGAAAAACTCTATGACATTTAAGAAGAATTATTACATAGAATTCATAAAAATGGTTTGGAATCCTTGTGGCAAAGTAAGTGCTAAGCAGTGTACAGTTGCAAACTACTGGAATCAGATGGTTACCTCTGAATGTTTAATCATGTCCATAATGGGTCAGCTGTGACATGCACAGGAACATGAGGTGTAATCAAGCCTAATGGGATGTACATGTTGCTTTTTGTTATAAGTAAAAATCAAAATTGACCCAATCGTAATAAAAATAAAAAATATAAATTTATTCGCGACTGTATTACAGTCCCGACAGTCACCAATCAAAATGACAGCGCAGACCCCGGGATACAGGCTGGGTGAACGCAGATCCGGCCTCTATCGCACCGAACCCCCCTTTGTCCACACTTGCTCTTCCACAGGGACAGTTCTTATACTCTCTTTCTTGCCCGTGGCTGAGTCCCTTTGTCTCCTTTCCAAGTTCCTCATATTCATGTTGGTTTCTTTCTTCACTCAAAGCTGCACAAAACCTCGTCCGGGAAGAGACAAAATGTTCCTCCTCCGATTCCCGGAATCCTGTATTCAGGTGGAAGGTGTTGATGGCCCTGGTTATCTCAGATGTGTATCTTCATGGGCCATCATCACTGGGCGTCCTCGGGTACATGCCACCGTGAACGACCATCTCCTGTGCAGCCGAGTTTCCTTTGTATGTTAATGCCGAGTTCCACCCTTGTCAGGCAGCCGAGGTGTCGGCATTCTAGGATTAAACCCTGGTCCCCCCTTTAATAGCATGTTTGATACATATATCTATATTTCATAGGCACGAATTTCTACCATATCCCTAACACTTTTCATGAAAAATGCAGGTTTTCTGTCCCTTTTAGGCAGTTCTGGCCTTTAAAGGCATCAGAACAATACTGCTGCAACAAGTGCCACACCATTGTCATGCCACTCCAGTTTAATTCAATCATATGAGAGCTTGTTTTGCTCAGACAGCTGGAATGCCTCATCTGGTTTTATTTGTTTTGGTTTTATTAGTAAGAACAAAAATTGTTAAGTTAGTGGCTCTTTTTGTTTCCTTTAATGATGGAAATCACTTATTTTCTTTGGCAGGCCAATAATTTGGTGTCTGGGGAACAGAGGAGTTATATTCCTTGTGAAAACGGAAACTGAATGGATTCCACAGGGTTTGTAAAGCCAGCTGAAAGAAGGAAAACTGATACCTCCTACTGTGGCTTTCTGTAAATCCACTCTGGGATCCACATGTCAGTCTTGAGAAGCTGTCTGTGCATCCCACAGAGCAAGGGTGGTGCAGTTGCTGTCCGTGCTGGGACAGGTGTGACTCACAGCGCTCCACCCTTGGCTCTGGGGACTGTTGAGTCTGGGAGCTGGAGCAGATCAGTCCTGAGTAAAGATGTTCAGGGACCGCAGCCCTGCTGAGGCCTCAGCAGTTACACTTTCCTCTAAAACAGGATTTTAATTTTGATTTGTCTCTTTGAAACCTGCAGGTAGTATTGAGCAGAAGCTTTACTTGTGCTGCCACAAAATTTGGGCTGTCTTTCTGGAAGCAGAGTTTACATTAATTTCATAACAGATTAATGTTTCCCCAATGCTGACACAGTGACTGTGTGCACCTTTTTCACTTATTGATTTTAGATGATAAAAATAAACTAATGTGTAGCTTCATGTTCCTCTATGCTGTGACATTCTTTATAGTTCCTAAACACAAAAATATTTTGGTAATAATTAGAAGAAACCAGTGCTTCATGGAGGGTATTTGACTATCCTCTTTAAAGTGTATTATATTTATTTGAATGCGAGCAGTGCCTTCAGAATGTGGGACAAAAAGTAAGGAGACAGCGTGCTTAAATCTGAATAAGGTGTTGCAACAGTTTGAGGAGGAGTGTTGGCAGGTTGTATAAGCTGGTTAATGTTCTCCATTCTGAGAATTTTTGTCTCTTTTTTGGTGTGTGTTGGGGTTTTTTTGCTTTTGCAGTGTCAGAGTTTAGAAGTGTAATGGCTTTTGCTCATGCGGTTTAGTAATGCCAGCTCTAGAATCATGTAGTGGTTTGGGTAAGAAGGGACTTGTAAGACCATCTAGTTCTAACCCCTGATATGGGCAGGGACGCCTTCCACAAGACCAGGTGGCTCAGGGCTCTATCTAGCTTGGCCTTGGTTGCTTTCAGGAAGGGGCAACCACAGCTTTCCTGGGAAAGAAGAGACCTTAAGTCACATGTCAATGCATGTGTCTCTTCCCAGGTGTGTCTGATATGCTGATCCCAGTAGCAGTAATCCTACAGGAATATTTTTAGAAGTTTACAGGATTTTTCTAGGTTTGCCAGCCATTTATTGGGTCCATGTGTGTGGCCTCACGACTTTAGCTGCAGCTCTTGCTCTGCATTCTTCCAGCATTCCTTGAGGAAAATGAGTTCACCATGCTAGGGGGAGCAAGCCAGCATTCATCTGCAATTGTCTCATCTCCATACTGCTGATGCTCCAGACAGCCTAGCTGGTTTGGAATCCCCCCTCCAAAGAGAGGGATGAGTTACAGTGCTCAAATACTCACATGCAAGTAGATTGAAATAAATGGGCAGGAGATCT